GTGTAGATATTTTATTAAAAGCAAAGAAGAGTTAAAATTGCACTCACATAAATATATAACTAAAAGCATGTAACATCCTCTGGTATCATATACAGAGCATTGTAGGGTTCAGGCTGGACTTCAAATGTGTACGATTTTATCCTGCAACATGATGTCACAAGCCGTCAATCATGGAGCACTGCGATAGGCTGCTCTTACATCATGCTTTTACCTACAGTACATATTTATGTGAGTGCAATTTTTTAACTCTTCCTTGCTTTTAATAAAATAACTATACTTAGCTGGTGGCCCTCCCTGTTTTTTTTTTTTTTCTTGTATTACAGACCATATAGTGAATTCCTTACACTCTACAGAGGCCATTTGCATAGTGACTTTTATGGACTTTAATGTTATCTTATTTAACTTTCTAACTCCAACTCTCCCCTCACTTTCTTGGCACCATATATATAGTATATATACATACATTAAGGCTTTGATTTGCCTGAGGTAATGTTCCACCAAATGCCACAGACCTGTCTAAATGTGTTTTCCATTACTGGCCACATTGGTCAGTAGAATGACAAGGGCAAGGGAAAAGTCATAAAATAATCATTTACTTTAAAAAACAGAATGCAGACTACATGTAAACAAATCCTGCTATGAAAAATATATAAATTGCCATTGGCAGTATCCTGAAAATGTTAGATAAAATGTCATGATGATTCCCAGGAATCAATGTGTTCTGAGTCACAACTAGAGGAAGCACGTAGCAAGTGAAATCAGGGTTAAGTTAGCAGTCTTAATAATTGTTCCAGGTCAGGCCCAAATTATTGAAGCCAATGGATTAGCAGGGAAGCCTGCAAGTTGAACTTTCAGAAATGGTTCAGCCTTCATATTTATTTCATGACATAATTCCTTTAACCTCTTCAGCTCTTTGGACATGTCTAATATGTTCAAAGGCTGAAGCGGTTAAAACAAGCTTGCATCTGCAGTCATAGCCGTGAACTTGTTTCTGTGTTAGTCGGATCTGGGCTTTTGTGTGAAAGTGATCTAAGTCAACCAGTCACTTTTATATGTACTTGCGGATGACATCTGTTCCCTATTCTTTTCTGCTGTGTGTGAACCTGGAAGCGCTCAGCTGAGCATTTCTGGATTCAGAGCTGTCAAAATCCTGGCTGGAAAGCTGGGTGCACAACAAATCAAGCACAGTCTGTGGTGCTTGATTAGCTGTAGTGGAAGAGATATTAAACCTGTCACAGCCAGACCCTGCGCTCCAATTTTAAAGTCAGGTGGCCAGACCATTTTCCCTTTTATTTTCCACTTATAGCTTTCAGAGTTTGAAAAAGACTCCCAAAGGCATATATATTCTGAAAGCATAGGACTCGTAGAATAAAAAGGAGGTGCTACTGGTTTTGTAGGTCTCACGATATGTGTAAAAATTTATGATTTACACTAAAGATGTACTAAAATCATTATTATCAGATACAAACAGCATAACTTACAACATTCCTACAAAATGTCCACTAAATCTAAAGGATAAAGCCGTATTGGGTTAAAATGGTTGTAAAGGTTTTTTTGTTTTTTTTTAATAACATACTATACTTACTTGCTCTGTGCAATAGAATTACACAGAGCAGCCTCGATCCTCTTCTACTCTGGTCCTCAGCCTGCGCTCCTGGCTCCTCATCTTTTGCTGGTGCTCCCAATAGGAAGCCGATTCCCATGGGGGCATTCATGCGGGCTCTCCTCTGACTCCCACTGCTGCATCCATTGACACAGACAGCAGGATTTGGCCCCGCCCCCCTACTCCCTGGTCTTTGGAGTTAATTGACAGGAGGAACCTTTGTCAATCAGCATCTGTAAAGAGTGCTGCTGTCAGAATACAGTGTCCCAACAGGAAGGGATGTTTATTTTTTTCCCATTTAGCCATCTATGCTTTAGACTTTAACTCCTTGCCACCACCTCCCACCTGGGAGGACTTTGAAGCAAAGAAAGGGATTAGGGGTGGGGCACAGTTCTCCAATCCCTTTCTCTACACTCAACGAATGAACAGGAAGCACTTTGTACAGAGCCTTTATGTTCATTCACAAACGGAAGCATAGTAAAACAATGTTTACTTTGCTTCAGTTATAAATGAACACAAAGAGTGATCAGTACTGATCATTGAGGACAGGAAGGAGATGATAAATATGATATTTACTATCCCCCCTCTGTTCTCAATCCTGAAACTGATCAACAATGACACTGAGAAGCTGGCAGTGCTGCGGTGGGGATAGGGGGTAGGGATATCGGAGTGGCGGGGGTGAGGTTGGGTAAGTGGGGGATGTACATGTTGAAACCAGTCTCTCGGTGGAAGAGGAGGAGAAGCCGTAACACTGCAGTGGGAGAAACAGGGGATCTGCTTCCTTCACTTCCTTTTCTGTAGACTCCACAGGAAGTAGGAGTTTTTTTTTAAAAATGTGAGAGAAATCTCCTCTTAAAGAAGGATTCCAAGTATGGATTTTTTTCATATACTGTAGTTAGATTGGTCCAGCTTGGATCAATGTAACTATTCATATACCATACCTGTGGGTCCCTCTAGAAGCTGGAAATAGATCACTGTAGTAGAGACTGTATATGGCCAGCTTAGCATGCCAGCTGGAAGAGTTGATACACATGCCATGGCCATGATGCTTTGCTTCGAGGCCATGGCAAATGTAACTTGGCATGCTGAGTTGACAGGTGACATACAGTTGTGACCAAAATTATTCAACCCCCAATGCTGTAAAGGGGTTTAGGGACTATAGTGTACATTTGGAATTGTATTCAGAATCAAATCCTACAAGGACGTTGTAACTACCCAAATGCAACTAAAATGACATCAATTGTTTATGTAATACAGTAGTAAATGGTTCTTATGTGGTTTCTTCATTGCCACAATTATTCAACCCCTTAAAGACTACCACTCTGAAGAACAGAGGTTCATACAGGTGCTTTCCATCAGGTATTGAAAACACCCTGTGGATGTCACCGAGCAGCAATCAAGCATAATAAGCACCAATTAGGCAGCTTTAAAATGACTGTGATACTCAGCTCCTTCTAGACATTTACTGGTGTGGTTACAAACATGGTGAAGGCAAGAGAATGGTCCAGGAAGACAAGAGAAGAGGTGATTTCTCTTCACAGGAAGGGCAATGGCTATAAGAAAGATTGCAAAGATGTTAAACATACCAAGAGACACCTTAGGAAGCATCATTCGCAAATTCAAGGCAAAGGGCACTGTTGAAACGCTACCTGGTCGTGGCAGAAAGAAGATGCTGACTTCGACTGCTGTGCGCTACCTGAAGCGTAGAGTGGAGAGAAGTCCCCGTGTGACTGCTGAGGAACTGAGAAAAGATTTGTCAGATGTGGGTACAGAAGTTTCAGCCCAGACAATAAGACGCACACTGCGTAATGAAGGCCTCCGTGCCAGAACTCCCAGGCGTACCCCCTTGCTGTCTCCAAAGAATAAGAAGAGTCGACTGCAGTATGCCAAAAGCCATGTGGACAAACCACAAAAGTTGTGGGATAGTGTTCTGTGGACTGATGAAACAAAATTAGAACTGTTTGGGCCCATGGATCAACGCTATGTTTGGAGGAGGAAGAACAAGGCCTATGATGAAAAGAACACCTTGCCTACTGTGAAGCATGGTGGAGGGTCAATCATGCTTTGGGGCTGTTTTGCTTCTGCAGGTACAGGGAAGCTTCAGCGTGTGCAAGGTACCATGAATTCTCTTCAGTACCAGGAGATATTGGATGGAAACGTGATGCAGTCCGTCACACACCTGAGGCTTGGGAGACGTTGGACCTTTCAACAGGACAATGATCCCAAGCATACCTCCAAGTCCACTAGAGCTGGTTGCAGAGGAAAGGCTGGAACATTTTGGAGTGGCCATCGCAGTCACCAGACTTAAATCCGATTGAGAACCTCTGGTGGGACTTAAAGAAAGCAGTTGCAGTGCGCAAGCCTAAGAATGTGACTGAACTGAGGCCTTTGCCCATGAAGAATGGGCGAAGATACCCGTAGATCGCTGCAAGACACTTGTGTCAAGCTATGCTTCACGTTTAAAAGCTGTTATAACTGTAAAAGGATGCTGTACTAAGTACTAAGATTGAATGTCACTTGGGGGTTGAATAAAACTGATAATGCTGTGAGCACAGAAAAGACATTTGTGGTTATTTCATTATAACTGTTATGTTATATTTGTCTGACCTACAAGTGCCTCTTTAATGTAAATGTAAGCAAGATGACTGAATGATCAAAAGCAATGTCAAACTGGCCAAAACACTCAATTTCAGTGGGGGTTGAATAATTTTGGTCACAACTGTAGCCTGTCAAACTCTCCCAATTGTGTCAGTGGGACATGGTATATCACTGCAACATCCCCCTTCAGCTTAAAAGAAAATAAAAGCAGCCATTCAGGAGATGATAGAATCTCCTCCTGAACAGCTGGAAGTCGCTGCTCTACCCATTGACTTATGGGACATCCACTGTCCACTGTACCTCCTCTCCCCTGAAGCTGGCGCTGAAAGCCAATCATGTGACCGGATGACCGGACCAGAGCGCCCTTAGACTGTGTAAGTAAACACATCTTTTCTTTACAGAGTAGTTAGTATAGGTCTTGGGGGTGGGAGCTGGTTTAAGTATTGTTAGGTTTTGACCAGACTTCCACTTTAATGTCAGGCCCTTTGCATACATTGTTGATGATACATCATCATTGCATTGACGTAAAAAAATAGGGTCTCCCGTCTTTAGTTTGTGGGTTTATACTGTAGGTTACATGTATCCAAGTAAGACTGAATTGTGAGAACAGAAAAAAATTCAAAGCCCTAAAACTTTTTTGGGTAAGTTGACTTGGTAAGAGGTTTGTTTATTTTTTATTGCAATCCCCTCATGCGTAAATGTGGTCATCTGTGAATTCATTTATTTCATTTTGTTAATTTACACACTACAATAATTTCATTCTCCAGTGTTTGCACTAATGCTGTGTGCTTTTTTGTAGCATTACATATGTTCCAAGTGAGAATTTGGAAGAATATCGATCAAGTATTGGCCAACTTAGTGAAGGAACACAATCACTTGAACCTTTGCCTGTACAAAACACTAGGTGAGAAGTGATATAGCAATATATTTTATCAAGCCAAACTGGAACATCTACTAATGAAAAGTATCTTGGCAAAAGAAAAAACTGAAGCTGTTGTTTTCAAGAATGGTATCTTGACTTGACTTGATTTGGCAAAACAAACCAATCAGTCATGGGGCAGATTAGCTTATTTAAAATAGAATTTTGCACAGAAATGATCCCCTTCTCCCCTGGGATTAAAATTATATATCCCATAATTAAAGATATGGCTCAACTGATAAAGTCTTCTGTTTGTTATTGAAAAGATAGTACTAGAACTATACTTATTTCCTCTAAATGCTGTGTATCGTTTTCAGCCAGGCCCATAATCCTAGTTTAAAGTATGATTTTTTTTTTTTTTTTACATGGAGTTGAGAGGAACTAGAACACCTGTCCGGTTTTTATTGCTGTCTGTGTCCCCATTAAGGAGATTCACCCTCTCTATTTGTCCTTTTTACCATTAGCATTAAAATCGAAAGTAAAAGAAAAATCCCACATTTAAGGTTGTCCCCAGAAAAGTAATAGAGGGGAAAACTTCCATTGGGGACACTAATTCTGGTGACCTGGGGATCCCCAAGGAATTCCCTTAATTGGCAGGGATTTCCTCTCACTTCCTGATTAGCTATGGGACAAGAAGTGAAGGGAAATCTCCAAAAGGGTTCATGGAAGGCAAAAAAAAATCTTGACAGGGTTATAACCCTCCCTTACTCTATCTAAAATGTTTTACTTCAAGTATACATCCTGTGTTGCTGCTAGGTTGAGCCATGAACTATGTTTTCTAGATTTTCTTTTTGCATGTTAGGACCCCTTTACAAAAAACATTCCTAAATATTATTTTCAGTGCATCTTTAGGCGACTGTGTCATTGTAGGGTCAAAGGTAAAGAAAGCCAAGCCTGTTAAAGGGAGTGCTGTGTTTATCTTGATGGTGGCCCCTGTTCTAAAACTGCAGTGCGTTGCTGATATCTAGTTGCCACAATTCTGAATGGATTATTAGGACGTTATTGACACATTTGCATGTGTATTTTAAAAAAAATATTTTTGGTATTGAAAATTATATTTGCATGAGAATGCATTATGGTGCATAAGAATGTAGCCTCTCCATGTAAAAGACCAGCTCCAGAAAATTTAATTTTTTGTTTGTTAATGAATTTTGAATAGAGTATAGAAAAGGGTAGATTTTTTTTGGTGTCTGTTATTCCATTGGAAAGATCTCTCACTTTTAATATTTTGTTACAGAAGAGCACATAATGAAGGGAATATGAATCCCCAGGACAGAAAGGAATAGAGATTGCAAAACAAAAATAATTAAAAATGGATGGTTCTAAATATTTACCCATCTGACTATCTCTGACACGTTCACAAAGGTCCTGGAGGTGGAGGCTCTCCAGCAGACCCACACAGCAATTTACAGTTGACATATTCTTTGTAAAAAAAAGGTTTTGTCTGAGTTTTCATTTGTATTTAGGAAAATAGTTTTTTTACTATAAAAGTGGAATTATTTTGAGTTATTCTTTCACAGAAGCTGGTTCAAGCAAAAAAGGAATTATTAGATTGTCTTATGGGTGCAGGAAAAGATAAAAAAGAAAATATTGATTGAATTTGAAGGACATCAATCTCTTTACAACCTAAGTATATCATAGAAGAGACTTAAAAACAACCTGTAGTTAAATTAAATTTAAGTGAAGACCTTAAATGAATTCAGTTCAGTGCAGGGAGGAGGATATGGAAGTCACCTTGACATATGGAGTGACACAAGTATGGTGCTCTGTGAGGGGTGTAGGAAATGAAGGAAAGTTGGTAAAGGCAACTTTTGGTGCCTGCTTTTAGCTTCTGCGCTGAATTTGGATTGTTTCACTACAATTCTATTTGATAGCACTCATTTACATCATACCAATAGAATTTGAGCATTTTGATTGTAAACAAAAGTTAAAGAAGCTTGTGATTTTTCCAGTGATGCTCCAGAGCTACCTGAGCGTGAAGAAGGTGAAGGGGAAGAAAGTGAACTGGAACATGCAGCATTCAGCAACTGGAATACTCCAAGAAGGTTTATACAGCTATTTGCATTTCATTGTCCTTACTGTATACTGCAAAAATCCCTAAATACAAATTCTTAGTTCTGTCTACAACATGAGGCCTGAACTAGTATAATCCAAAGCATTTCTTTCTTCTCTCTTTATCCTCACAGGGTAGAGCTTTGGAGGGAGCCTGGTAAATCTCTGGGGATCAGCATTGTCGGTGGCAGAGGCATGGGAAGCCGATTAAGCAATGGGGAAGTGATGAGAGGAATCTTCATCAAACACATTCTAGAGGACAGTCCTGCAGGCAAAAATGGAACTCTGAAAACTGGAGATAGGATTGTGGAGGTACCATCTGGAAGATCATTGTAATGTGCAGGCATATGTAACAGTCATTGCTGAATGCCTTAGAACACAAAATGTGGGGGATTTAACCCTTCAAGTGCAGGTAGCAGGAAGAAAACATGTCATCTCACTGTTCCATACTACCAGTCTTAGTTGCACAGTTTATGTGTAATGTTTTTCTCAATCAAAAGTGAATGTGTATAATAGTTCTTTGAAATTTTCATATCAGCATAGGCAAACTAAATTTTTTTAATTTTAAATTATGTCACAATTTTTTTTTTGCATTAGTGTAGGTACCTGGGAAAAAAAAAAAAGCTTCTAAGCACTTTTACTACTAGCAATATTATGACAATTTATAGGAGCACTGGAGTAAAGTGTTGCCCATAGCAACCAGTCAGATCTTCAAGCTGGCGCTTGAAAGAGATTATAAACAAAAAAATATGGTTACTGTACTCAACATGCATACTTTCCAGCTATTTGTTTTGTTTCAGATTCAAGTGCAGTACTAGGAGAATCATTTTAAATATATAGAGCAAGCACGCCATGTACTAAAATGCATTTACAATTACATTGTATTCCACCTTTGAACATTATTTTACAATACGTACCAATATCCAAGTAGTTCATACCACACTAAGCATAATACAGCAAAGATATCTGCTACACTTTTTATTTCCAGTATTTATCCAAAAAGAATACATTGAGCACCACTTATTCGTATAGCAGATAATATTCATAAATACATATGGAAATTCAGCATCCAGAATAGAATAACAGAGCCAGACCCTGATGAAGATAGAGGAAAAGGAAGAACCCAACATTTCAGAGTAACCCCTTTCCTCATGAATCTCCTCTTTAAGAGATTGTTCTATTCTCAAGTTAGGTTAGAAATTAAAATAGGAAAAAAATGACTGAAGCAAAAGTGTCTTAAGTATTGCTATCACGCCATACCCAGTGGCTCAAAACACCACAGTTTGGTTGTGTACCCCATTTACTAAACTTTTTTGGCTTTGTAAAATGAGGATGGCCGCCAGTTCTTATATTGTCAATGTTGTCTTGGATGTTATGTTATAACTCCAGAATGGTAAAGATCATCTCTGTTGCTGTACTGTTTACATTGATGCATTTTTTCTTTTTTACAAAGACAACTAGGAAAAAAAGATATTAGTTTAGAACCTCTTTTACTCAAGAGGAAGTATTCACTTACCTGCCCTTACCAGTCGCTGTACTGGTATTTGACAGCCAGAGGGGCCAGCTGTCATATTCCAATAGCTGGAGTGGCAGATTTGCGCATCTGCACTGTATAGCGTAGATATAACTTTTTCAACTAGGGTGCCTTGAGGTTTCTTCAGGGGTGCCTTAGCAAAATGCTTAAAAAGTTGCCCAGAAATTGTGTACAAGCCAGAGGTAGATTAAACCTGCCTTTTTGTTACACAAAGCCACAAGTTTTCATTGTGCTCCATTATGATCTTCTTGCCGCCAGCATCCCAGCAGTCAATGACATTGTCAGTTGATAAGGAAGATTTTGGTCGTCCGCACAGCATCTTTGTTTGACCCTCCCCTGACCCTCTTCATCAGCACTGGGGTCACATTAGCTGAGCGATGGAGAAAAACCTAGGGAAAAGAGAAACATTGGAATACTAGTCAGTACTAGTGTAGCAAAGTGTATTTGCTTTGGAAAAATAAATTGCCTCTAACATTGGGTGTCCTATGTGTCTGAATGTTGACGCATTACATTTACATTTTAGAATGGGGCGACTGGAGACTGTCCATAACTTTAAAGGGTGCCTTGATTGAAAAAAGGTTGAGAAACACTGGCGTAGATGGAAGAATCAGTTAATTTTTTATTTTTCATTGAGGCTGCAGGACGAATGAAAAAAGCTATCTCTGTATAGCCAATTTAGTCTGTTGGATGGACTGAGCAGGACAGTAATTTCTCTCAACAAGATTACTACCTTGAATCTTTAGCTGTCTTTTCTGTTTGCTTTTAATGAGTGGACAGACTGGCATAAGCTGTAGATTAACATGGAAAACCCCAGTTATAGGTATAGATCCTACCAGCAAAGCTGTTTAGAAAATTACTTACAGTATAAATCTGTAGAACTCAGACTTGTTATACAAAGCCTATTACTGACATCTATTTATAACATCAATATGGGAATAGAAGCATCAGTAAAGTAATTAGAGGAGGGATGTCTTTTTTTTGTTGCTGTTGTTTTTGCTCTTTTTTTTGTTCCTGTTCGGACAAAGTTGGCTTACTTTTCTTTTAACAGGTGTCACTGCCGCTTTTACCTTTTTAATTTTTTTAACATTCTATTTTGGAGTCATGTTTGATTCTTACTAGATGATTCCAAGTTGTCCTTAGTAACCAATGTCCCTTTTTGTTTAGGTTGATGGCATTGATCTAAGAGATGCAAGCCATGAGCAGGCAGTGGAAGCCATAAGAAAAGCAGGCAATCCTGTTGTCTTTCTTGTTCAAAGCATCATTAACAGGCCTAGGGTAAGTACAATGAAATATTCAATGTGTTACCGCATTTGCTTGTTTATTTTATTAATCATTCATTTCCTTTGCTATCACTGAGTTGATAAAATTCTATTTTGCAGTCATATATGGAAAAAAGACATATGTTCTCCTTGAAATCCTAGTTATGTTTTATTGTTCTGTTACTGCATGGATATGATGCCTAGAATATGCCAGTTATCCATATCAGTGCATCTCAGCTAGCTGCTCTCAGCAGGTCATGTTGTCAGAGTTTTCCTGCAAAGGTCATTTAATCAGTCGATCAGTAATTACAACAGCTGTTTGATTAAGGGAAGTCCTGGCAATATTTCCTTTGATTACTGAACTTTAGGGATTCTGACCTCCAAGCAGTTCTCTTGAGCCATGCTATTGCTGTGTGTATGTGTTGTATAGAGTCAAAATTAGTATAGTTTATTTTTATGATCATATGATGTGTACAACTACAAAAATATCCCCCTGTAAATCAGGTAGTTTGTTTTTTGATTCACTCACAATAATCACTTTTAGCACTTATTCACGCTCAAATGTACCTTATGTAGGCAATTTTAAGGTCTTTTTTATGTGTTTTTGCACCTTTTTGTTAACTTTTTTGTTATCCCTTGCAGTTAAGTGCCATATTTCTTTGAGACAGCTTCATGCATTTTGCCCCTATAGACTTTTATTTTGGGAGTGCCTGAAAAAAGTGTGTACCACATGTTTTTTGCAAGGTCCTATTGAAGATAGTGGGGCCAAAAACTCCCAGTTCTGTTTCAGAAGTTGCTCATGTACCTTTTTGAGATTCAGATGTTGAGCTACCACCATCAAAACTCTCAGATTTGAAATTGGCAAATTTTAAAAGAATGGAATTTGGCTTGTTGAGCATTTTGGAGCTTTGAGCTTCCAGCTCTCAGGTGTGAATGGGGGGTAATAGTACAGACTGGTTTTACGGTCAGTTTTGTCGTTTAGCTAACAGGCCAAAATTAGCATAATTCAAAAGAAACCCTTTGACATAGGTAGGTGGACTTAGATGAAGACATAAGACCACATTTTAACAATTCACAGAGCAGAGCTCTCCATAAACAGTAATGTTCAGTTTGCCTATGTTCCCTATGAAAACAGTGAAATGATCATGACTGTTATAGACGTAAGATTGTTACCTGCTGTGGCCAAAAGCATTCTCTTATGTCTGTTGTTTTTTAAAGATGTATGTGAATATAATTTATTATGCAGGAACTTCTGCTATAGAATGGTTCCCACTCTAAGCTATCAGTATTAGAGCTAAATGGAATGTCACTCCATCCCTGTTGGCAAGTCTTGCAAGCCATGAGAGGACCAGTTTACCTCCATGCAGCAGTAGTTCTCTGTTCTCTTTGCTTTTCTGTTTATTAGCGTATGCATGTGCTGTGATACTTTTAGGTCCATTTTGGGTGTTAATTGCTGCCTTTCTAGTGGCATTTTAATTATTCTTTGTAATGCCTTTCTAATTGCCCTTTTCTTCTTTAGCCTGAGTCTCTGTATTGCTCTCCATCTGCCTCTGCTTACAGAGGACATCCACCTACTAACCCCTTTTCTCATCACTCATCCAAGGTAAATACTTTGCTTACAACTGCATGCTGATTGTCATTAGGTACACCAATAGTTCTAACCTCACCCTGTTTTAGAAACTTTGAAAACAATCATTATTTACCTCCATATAATGATATGTATTCACACAGTCTGCTTTTCTAGATTTCTCAATGGTCTGTCTTCCTGAAGATATCTCCATTGCTTCTTTTAACCACTGGAGGTTAAACTTAGAAAGTGCCAGTCCCTACTTGATTCAGCTTTTCCTATTCTGTCCTACTCCAAATCGCTGCCCTGCATTTTTATGAAGCTTGTGGGCAGGGCCCTTTTTCCAAGTATTTTTTAAAGTATACAAAACCTATAAAAACACTTGTACTATGTCTTTGTCTGTTCACCTCCTTATCCAGCAGCAGCAGTCATTAGTATTCAGCAGTATTTTGTAAACTATCATGATTCAAAACCATGCCGTCCCTACTGTTGATATGCTTGGACAGCCATGTTGCAGAGATATGTCACAAAGCTAAAATAGCATCTCACTGAACTGTCGTCAGTCAGCCTCCTAACCACAATGTATGTTTTCACAACATGTCACATTGCCAGAGCCCATTATAAACCCAGACAGGGTTGATTCTAAGGACCAGGTCACATAAACCACTTTTTAACATCTACAGAAGCACTCTTATTGGTGTTTTAATGCAAGGAATAAATTATTGAATGGCAGCCAACGAAAGGTCTTTGTCACAACAATTTCAGCAATTTGTAGCTCAGTTGTTGAGTGAATTTTGGCAGTATTTGGAGCGTACTACGGAATGTTTAAATTCAGTAGTTGCTCTTGTTATCCTCTGCAGATGCTGATAATTATGTCACCCTTGTAGCGGCATAAAGAAGTAAGTCTTTAAGCAGAAAATGTTATAACGGCTACAAAGTGGCTAGTTTGACATGATATGAAGGCTAGCATACAACAATGCACATTAGTCCCTGGTGTAGAATTCATTTTCTGTTTATTTATAGCATGTTGTAATGCCTTGAAACATTACAGTATGTTAGTTTTGGGTAAGTGTGGATGACAGGACCCCACCTGTATCAGGTTACACTTGTCAGTTTGCCAGGTTCAGTGCAAAAGTACTCATGTGGACAGTTCATAGACTACATTTGGAAAACTGTCTAGCATACGTACAAAAGGACTGCTGCTAGTAGGAATCAGCAAATCCTATAAGGGCTCATTCAGTCGGGAGATCAAGCCTGTCCTCCGTGCAGAGCTACTGGCAGATGTGTGTGCATCCACCTTTGAGCTGCGTGCAGGCAGCCCTTAGAAGTAGATGCACATGCAGCGGTTGCATGGACACAGTTGCATATCAGAGTTTGGGCTGGAGCTGGTTCACTGTTCCGAACACAGCAGTTTACCCACTTCTACCAGCATGTCAAACATTGACACGTGATTGTGTCTATGCAGCTGCTGCCTGTGCTTCGAATCCTCTGGACTGCCTGCACACAGCTTCAAGGTGGATGCACACACATCTGCCAGTGGTGCTGCATAGAGGGCAGGCTAAATCGTCAGTCTGAATGAGCCCTAAACAGCTTAGGGCTGTTTAACTGCACTTAGCACTACCTATTGAAGGTGGTGTTCAGATAGATCTTAATGGACAGTATACACCTCCCCATCAATTTGTTTAAAATAATTTGGTATGAGCTGGAATTTACCCGTTGACATTACGAATGTCCTATTCAGTGGTAGAAAAACATTTATTATTATATTTATAATTGGAGTTTTTAAAATTATAGAACATTAGTTGGATACAGCCTCATGGGATTCCTTAGCTCACATTGTAACATTATCTCTGTTGGGATTATAATGTTATCTGCATTGACCAGTAGAAACAGAAGAATACTATATGGAGGAGAAAAACTCCTTAGCACTCTTTGTTATTATAAATAATAGTAACAAAAATAAAAATGCTAAAGCTCCTTTCACACGAGGTGGACTCCACCATGAGTCGACTTGCTCAGTGGGGCATCAGGCAGATGACTGCTCCGTGTCCACTTCGCTTATGCAGAGTGGACACAGACTCAACCCATTCTCCTCTACGGGTAGTCAGGTGTAAACGGAGAATAGGCCTGTCTGTTTACACGCGACTGCCATCTGACGGAGGGGGAACAGATCCCCCATCTGTCTGTTTTATGTGGCTAAGATTGAATGTCAGCTGCTGTGTCACATGTCTGTTTACACCCACTGCTTCATAGAGGAAAATGGAGGGTCTGTTTTTCAGGTGGACCCAATTGGACCATTGAAAGTTAGAACTAAATGAGTGCTAGAAGTTCTATCAGATTTGCATTGCTGCCTTTGCCCCCTCTAAAGAAGTTTGCCACCTGGTGAGACAGAGAGGAAAATTGGCTCAAAAGGGTCTTAGTAGCAAAAATATGTCAGAATGTTGAACCTGTCCCCATTACCTCCATAACCAAAAAAAAGAGGGGCTGTAGGTACACAGTAGCTTTTTGAAACCACCTTGATATTTTAAATCATTTTTAAATGTATGAAATCTCTAATGAATTTGGAGCTGTGCATGTGCCTCTTTGTACTCTGTGTTTTTGTGAGATCTGTCTTCATGTTTATTATATTTCATGCATATTTTTTGCTGAGTGGCCTTACTTGGGTTTTGTAAGGTTTCATTAACACCATTCTTCATTTCTGTTTAATGTAAAATAACATTTATAATTATCTCCGTTTTCTTTTATTTTTATTTTTTAGAGTAAAAGCTTGCCTTTACAGAGCACATTTGGTACTAAACCTCTCCTCAGCTGCACTAACCCATTTGCTGATTCCTCCCAGTACAACACTAACAAGGTTGGATGTTTTTAACTTTTTAATTGTAGCTTTCAGTTCTCATTACAGTTTACATCTGCCATTTTTACTGTGCGCTTCTCTGTAACCCATAATACATTGTCATTTAACGGCAGTAGCAAGTGCAAATGTTTACATTTTTTTTAATAGTAATATATGATCTATATATTTTCTATGTATTAACCTCACTATTATTTTGTATTGCTTTTAGAGTTGCTTAGGTTTGTCACCTTTCTACATATGCAACTTACACAGCTTACACACCTAGTTCTTGTCTTACTCCAGAACAGGAAACAGTTACCCAATAGATCTCTCTTATGGGCTCTCTTCCCTATGGTGTCTGAGGTCTCTGGAAGCCCAGGAGTCATCCAGTATTCATAAGAATGAGCAGTAATCATTCCTTGTGTATGGAAATGTTAAACACAACCCTTCATTATGATTCTATTAAAAAAAACATATACAGTAATATAACAAATAATACTCAATTTCAACTTGACCAGAATGTCTGGTACCCATGTGCTTTTACATTTCTCCTGACTTCCCTGTATAAATTGTATTTTCTTTGAATGTCCAAAGAGCAAACAAGAAACGTTTTGTTCTATCCCCTCCATATCTATAGATTCTCATCTTTGTTGCCCAGGCTAGGGAGGAGATAAATTGCTGACATGCATTACCTAACCAGCAGTTCATCACACTAAAGGATTAGATTTTTTTTTACACATTTTAATTACTTTACAAACCTCAGTGGACACAGTAGATTACAGTTAGAATATACTTTTCATACAAGATCAGCAGGGTAATTACTATAAGAGCATATAAAAAAAAACGCTATTAATGTTAAGCTGATGTAATTTTGTTTATAACTGACCTTAAAAAGAATGTATAGTGGTTTGATAGATAGTTTTTTATTATAGATGTTTGAAACTTTTTTTCTTTCTTTTTTAAACCCGTAGGTATGGAATAATGCATATAAATATGTACTTTCTAACTAGCAAGTAAAGTTCTAGGCTATTGTTTAGGGCAATGGTCTCTAAACTCTGGACGTGTGCCAGATGTGGCCCTTTGCTTGCCTTTATTTGGCCCTTGGGGCACTATTCATTTCACTGACACTAATGATGGGACACTACTCTAATACTACACATGGGACACCATTCGTCCCACTGACACTGAGACAAATGTCTGACGGACAGTAAACTGGCCCCTAATTTAGAAAGTTTGGAGACCCCTGGTCTAGGGTATCCAGATACTATAAGTAAATTGATTACAGAGCTCTAAAGCCAGTCATAGATAGATTGAATTCAATCTATCTATGGGCAGGCAGGTTGTACTGAAGTTCATCCTTTGATCTGCTTCAGTACAACCAGCCTGTTGGATTTTTTGCTTGTGATTACTGCCAGCGGCACCAGATGATAGCAGTGAATATTGTGTTCTGCCGCAGGCAGAACACAACAGAGCTGTGGGAGGAATTCCCCCATCAACATTGACCGTGTTAATGGGGGAATCAAGTAATTGGTTGTAAGCAACCAATCAAGCAAACAAAGGTTGAAGGAAAAAAAATCACATCATCAATGGCTTGCTTAACTCAAGCTGCAATTTACACACAAAAGTGATGACAGCCCAGTACAAAGTTTCATTAAGACAGAAAGTTTAATTCAAGTTATTAAAAATGCAAGCTTTCGGGATGAGTTTGATAAATGGCTTTTACTTTGCTTTCTCTTTGGTAAACCTCTAAAGTTCTTTAACACTAGTGTCAGGGGTGCACTGTCTATTAACCCTTTTACTGTACGGACCTATAGAACTGTTCCAGCTGGTCAGGTCAGTATGCCATATGGACATTGCATTGCTCCTTCTGCTGTAAGTTCATGGTCACTTCAGTGGCCATGAACTTATTGCAAAACTGTTTAGCAGACTCTGCTGAACAAACCATAAGCTATGATCATCGGCCCATACAGCCGCGTCATTAATTTACAATCTGTGAATGGAAAAACTACAAGTCCCATCTTCCACTGCTGCAGATGGCTTGTAGTTCTCAATTAACTGCAAGGGCGCTGATGAATGTCCTCTTAATTCATTCACAAGCCCTGCAGTTTTCAAACTGACAGCCCATATGGAGGTACAGACAGAAAACTGTAGGGCTTGTCGGCAGGCTCCTATAAGAAAAAAGTAAATGCAAAAATATATGCATTTTTTATTTTTTTCACAAAGATGAACTTTAAAACAGAAAAAAAAATTAACAAAAGCCTTCTAGTGCATAGCCAGCTTAAGACTCCCCTTCCATTATGCAATGGGGGATTTCACTGTCACATACTTGGTGGAGGTGATTGGTGCAGTATGAACTACTCTGATTGAAATACATAAAATGTATATAAATATATCTATATATATCTATATATATATATAGATATATATATATAAACTGGTTGTTTTTAGTGTTTTTGACAGTCCTCACTTTAAATCAGTATCCTTGTTCTTAGTGCCAGACCCATCTTTTATGATTCACTTGTGAAGAAGAGACTGTATTTTGGTGAAAGTTTCTGTTCTCTTGTTGCTGTAGGGCACAATGAATCCGGTTAGAATTGCCTTCCGTTGCTCCCCAACTAACCCCTTTGCTCCCACGCCATTTAAGGTTTGTCTGAAAGAGAAAATTTAAATTTTTGTGACTTTAATTTTCCATTGTCAGTATGTGCTTGTTTGTGAGTCTTACAGTGTGATGCTTTATTCAGTTTCATATGCACTTGCTGTCCTATTTTAATATTGTTGTTTTAGTTTGTTTTGTTGTGCTGACTGTCCTTATAAGGAGTATTTCTCATTGAGTTAGATGTTTTTCAGAAAAGAGTCTCTTTCCACCTAATAATATAGAGGTTTTCTATCAGTCTCAGTAATTTCCACTGGAGAGTTTAGGGCAGCATTACATCATTTGTGTTAAAGGAGGTGCTGCAATACATTCTCATAAAATTAAAAAGGTATGGCAGTACAACTGATTTCAAGTAAGGGCTAAGGTTCTGTGTAGTGTTCAGCTCTAGACTATGCCCTGACCTAAAGTCAACTGGAAACTAAGTGATCACTAAATATCCCCTCTGGAAATTGAAGGAATTTACCTTTTTTCTGAATAAACTCTCCTTAACAGTGTTAGACCTAACTGACATGGGATTATATGTATTTATAGGACATTTTTAAATGCACATAATGATTTTAAGTGGTATAATGCACACTTTGTGTTTACTTGTAGTCAAGTGCATTCAGTTTAGCTACATTTAGAATAAATAAAAAAATTTAAATCTTTGCACCTGGGGCAGATTAAATACTCTGAATGCGTTTAAGTGCATCTGAACATATGTAATCGGGTGTGAATGCATGTAAGCGCATGTACATTTAAATACAGGAGAAATTGCTCTGGGAAGTATAGTGTTTACATAAAGTTTGATTAGGCTTCCCAGAGCAATTTTCCCTGTATTTAAGTTAAACAAACACCTGCCTTCTTGCATGATGGAATGTAACCAGTATAATTGTTTTATTATGCATTATATGTTTTATTATTATTTTTTTCAGTTTATTTAGTTGTGCATTCTAAACTATGCATGCATTGGGCAATAATATGCTATTTAAGAGATATATCTGTTCAGATATGAAAAGAAAGGGACAAGGAACACAGTTATATAGAGTTGGCCATCTGCTCATTTTAACTGGTTATTTTAGGACTCTTGTCTGCTGTTTCTCTTTCCAATTTGGGTATTTGACAGGCAACAGATACTGCAGATATGATAGGATAGGGTACCGCAGATACTGCTGCATAGGATAGGATTGAGGACGCATATCATTGAGCTGAAAGGTGGTGGTGAAATAAAATATGCTTGCTTCTTTGCATTTATGTAAATTTTGTGGCTCCAAAATAGTAGTACCATCAGATCTAGTAATTCTGCATGCCAGCCTGAAAGGAGCTTGGGGAGCAGTACATTCTACATATGAGCAGAACCTTGCTGTGTTTCTGAGTGGGCACATAAGGGTCAGTTCCTTTAGCTGTGTGAGTTATTTTAATTGCATTTGGTATTTTATTTATTTTTTGGTTAAAAAAAAAAAATCAAAATCATAAATTTGACATACGTATAAAATGTGTTTTTTTTACACACAAACTCGTTATTTAATCACTAAGAAAAAATTATATCACATGGATTGTTTGGATTATTTTGGATTATTTCTTCTCTTGAGGCAACTCAACGATTCTTAGGCTTCACAAACGTTTAGTGTAATTTTTTCAAAGGATACTCCTCTCTGATGGCACCTCTCACTGCCCTGACCCTTAAAGGTGCTGATCTACTTTTCTAAATGGATCATCTTTACATGAGCCACATACTGCTAAACCCTTTTGCCTGAAAGTTGACACATTCGATGTGGGCCTCGGTGTCGTACTTCTACAGACTTTCCAAGGCAAGAAGCATCCTTGAGCTTTCCTTGCTAAAAAAAAAAAAATTACACAAGCAGAAAAAAAGAGTTGTTTTGCTATCCAGCATGTCCTGGAGAAATGGCAGTATATTCTTGAATATCTCCACATCATCTGGCCATATTTACCAATTACAAAAACGAACATTGTCTCCAGTCTGCTCAACACCCAATCCAGGGCAGGCTCAGTGGTCCCTTTTTTCTCACTTTAATTTTGACATCACATACAAACCCAGTTCCAGCAATACCTGAGAAAGGTAAATTCTCCTGTCCTATTAATCCCCACAAGAGTACTCTTCTGAACCAGAGCTCATTTTTTCTGCTGCTCGAATTCTGGTAGTGAACTCTGTCATGAAATCCTCTATTGCTGTAGGCAAAACCCTGGTGCCACTGAATCTCAGGACTGAGATTCTCCATGGTAACCACCCCTGAGTCCCATTGGCATGACATGATGTTATAGCTACCAAGCAGACCTCTTTCAAAGCAATTTGGTCCCAAGTACAAAAGCATTTTCTCAATTCTATTTCCAGATACAAAACATTGCTGATCACTACTGCACTGAAACCCCTGACTTCCAGCCTGGAGGTAACCTGGAGGAACCTTTGCCTCAAGATGCCCTCGACTAAGTTTGTCCATGGCCCTATTGGCCCTTTTGAAAGACCAATCATCCAAGACCAATCCTGTGTCATTCAAGTTATGTCTTCCACCTTGTGTCCATATACCCATTTTCATTGATACTTATCTCCCTAAAACCACTGGTTCTCAACAGATTTTCTCTCTATAGCCATCGCATAGAGGAACAGAGTCCACATCTCTGTGAAAGACAGTAAAACTCCAACCTCTGAACTTTGAAACAATATCAATAATTCCAAGAGTTAGGATCTCCAGAATGTATTGGCTAGTGTACAAAGTAGTCCTCCAGGTTTTATCTAGTGCTGTTAAGCAGTTTCATTTTTAGTGCAGAGGGTAGAATTTGTACATACTTCGTTCAGCATGCATTTAGAAATTGCTTTTTTTCCCTCTACTACAATTTGACTTGATAACAACACATTACTCTACAAGATGCTTTAGGTAAACAAACCGCTAAATGATTATACCGTTACCTTTCGAATATAACATCACAGTATGTCATTTGCAGAGGAGGAACTACCACATGGCCCCACGGTTCTATTATAAGTAAAATTGAAGTTTAGTTGCGTTTAGTATAATGTGTTGTAATTAAATTTGTATATGAGTATAACATAGTATGTGTCACGCAGTTTGTTCTAATCTCTTTTAGGCTTCCAGTAATTCGGATTCTGAGACAGAAAAAACAACTTTTTCAAACTTGACTCCGGTATCTACGACTTTCACCCCAGTCAGTGCTGGCCGTGTTCAGATGACCACCAGTACTTTTTCTAGAGACCCTGATAAAGAAGATGAGTTTGGCTACAGTTGGAGTGAGTTGAAAACTTTAATGGCAAGGAAAATATACCTGATGCTCCATAATGCTTTTTCAGTGAAAATATGTTACTTCTGTATACGGATCTTAATTGGTTGGAGCTTCAGTTTGCCAATAAAACCAACTCTGTATTTAAAGGAAGCCTGTCATAAAGGCTGCCACTGATGACAGTTTTGAAAATGTTGTGTCTGTTAGTAGTAAGTGTACAGATACGTTTGTCTAGCTTTCTTTCCTGGATTGTGAAAGAAAGCACTGGCCCATTGGGTCAGCAAAACAGCCATGCAACAAGAATTTGTAGAAGGAGGCCTGCAATGGTAGACCTCCATATTTAAGCATGACAAAATTCTTCAAATTGGACAAAGTGTAGATTGTAGCAAAATTTTTTTTTTTTTTAGTTTTAAATACAGAGAAAAGGCAGACCCTGACTCTTTTGTATTAGTACCTGTGTTCACATTGCAGACATTTTGCCTCATGTCCTATCCTGATGTCAGCATTGAGCTAGAGGGAAGTGACGGGATGTCTCCAATGGGGCACAAGAACTAAAGAATAAGCAGAGGTTCTAGTCATAACTAATGTTTTAATTTCTGTTGGGTCCCCGTTGATGAGATTTACATTCATTTACTGTGCAAGCAGTAAACATATATGAATTTGATGTGGTATCAGTCTCTTGCAACCTTGTTACAGCAGAGCTCAGACTGGGAGAGTGAGAAGCGCAAGTAGCCAGTCAGTGATACTGCAGTGCTCATGTTCTATCAAGCACTGTGCTGAGAGAAAGCAAGAGGAGTGAGAAGACATGTAAAGCAAATTTAGCTGCAGCACAGAAAAATTAAGCCTCCTCCCTGGCACACAGGGTTTTGCTGTGTAATAGAGCTGTGAAAATCGTAGGATTGGACAAACAGAAATACAAATCTATTGGAAGTTAAAGTGGCTCCCATGGATTTTATCAGTGTTTTTACCAGCTTTTCAGCGTTTAAGAGTTCCTACTGCTTGTCTGAAATGATTGTTGTGGAGCTATATATGTTCTTGAATGGTAATTTTCATCTGTTGCTTACATGTTGCTAATAGCTTCATGGAATATTATACACTGAGATGAACTTGTAGATACTTTACCGTGCAATCCATAGCATACTGTTTCCTATTATTATGTATTTTTTCATTAGGGTAACCAGTTTTTCATGAAGTACAAAAGTAAAATGTAAGTATGAATATTGCAGCGAGGACATACTGATTTAGGACTTATTATTTTTGGTCGTTGTTATTAAAAAAATCTTTCCTGGTTTTTTCTATTCTCACATGCACTGGGTTTTTGCATTTGACTTTTTCCTCACTTTAATGTTGTCTAAACTCACTATTTACCGGGGAAGTTCTAAAGCTGCACACAGAACATAAATGTAACTAGGTTATCTAAAGATAGCAGTTTTTAGCCACTCTCTATGGTGAAATGGTGGTAATAATGTGTTGTTGTTGCTAGGGGACCTCTGCACATTTTTTATCCCAATTTTGCTGCAAAGAGCTAATTACTCATGTCTGTTCTTAGTATGATGGACTTGTTAATTAGTGCTTCTTCCTCCCATTTAGGAAAGATATCACAGCGGTATGGAAACCTGCCAGGAGAATTGCATATGATAGAATTGGAAAAAGGGAAGACTGGATTGGGCCTGAGCCTTGCTGGAAACAAAGACCGATCACGAATGAGCGTCTTCATCGTGGGGATAGATCCAAATGGAGCAGCTGGCAAAGATGGCCGGTTGCAGATTGCCGATGAGTTATTAGAGGCAAGTATATGTCAATAAGCCGCCAGTGAATACATCCATTGTACTTGTAAATGCAGATTCTGAATCCTATTGAGCAACTTATGAACAAGACGGAAATAAAGATTCCTTGTCGATTAAAGGTTCTTCTATTTCAATCATTGAAGGCTTAGGTATCTTAATTAATCTTTTATCAGTTTTGGCTTTCCTTTAAAAGGCAGTACTTCATAAATAATACAAACGGAGAACATATCCAAATGTGTTGTTTTGGCATAATAAAGTCCCTTGGAATGCCTAGCTCATTTTTTTTTTTTGAAGATGCCTCCATTGAGGTAAAATGTCATGCGCCTGCTGCTTTTTTTTTGTGTATATTTAGAGGTTCTGTTCTAATATCAGCATATGTGCCTTTCTTAGATTAATGGACAAATATTATATGGGAGAAGTCATCAGAATGCTTCATCTATTATCAAGTGTGCACCATCTAAAGTTAAAGTAATTTTTATCAGGTAAAATTGTTAATTTTTTTTTTTGCTATGGATACTGTCTGTACAGAGTTTGCATGTTCCTGTGCCTTACAATAATACAAAAACATAACAGTAGTACAATAGACTTCAGTCCAAATAATTGCTGTGTTGTATGTGTGTGTGTATATGAGTTATATAAAAATTATATATGCAGTGTGTGTATGTGTATATATGTGTGTGTGTATGTATATGTGTATATATATATATATATATATATATATATATATATATATATATTCACATACACTGTAAGTATTAGGACACCCCTCCCAATCATTGGATTAACTTGTTCCAATGACCTCCATGGCCACAGGTGTATAAAATCAAGCACCTAGGCATACAGACTGCTTTCACAAATGGTTGTAGAAGAATGGGTTGCTCTCTGGAGCTCATTGAATTCAAGCATGGTACCATGATAGGTTGTCCATCTGTGAAATTTCCTTGCTACTAAATATTCCACAGTCAACTATTAGTGGTATTATAACACAGCTGAAGCAGTTGGGAACAAAAGCAACTCAGCCACAAAATGGTAGGCCATGTATAATGACAGAGCGGAGTCAGCACATGCTGAAGCGCACAGTGTGCAGAAGTCACCATGTGTCTGCAGCGTCAATAGCTAAAGACCTCCAAACGTCATGGGGCCTTCAGATTAGCACAATAGAAGTGCGTAGAGAGCTTTATGGATGCAGTGTTGTAAAGCCCGCTGCCACTGGACTCTAGAGCAGTGGAGACGTGTTCTCTGGAGTGACGAATCACACTTCTCTCTCTGGCAAACCGATGGATGTGTCTGGGTTTGGTGGTTGCCAGGAGAACAGTACTTGCCTGACTGCATTGTGCCAAGTGTAACGTTTGGTGGAGGGAGGATTATGGTGTGGGGTTGGGCTTGGCCCCTTAGTTCCAGTGAAGGGAACTCTTAAGGCATCAGCATACCAAGACATTTTGGACAATTTCATGCTCCCAACTTTGTGGGAACAGTTCGGGGATAGCCCCTTCCAGTTCCAACATGACTGCGCACCAGTGCACAAAGCAAGGTCCATAAAGACATGGATGAGTGAGTTTGGGGTGGAGGAACTTGACTGGCCTGCACAGAGTCCTGACCTCAACCTGATAGAACACCTTTGGGATGAGTTAGAGCAGAGACTGCGAGCCAGGCCTTCTTGTCCGACATCAGTGCCTGACCTTACAAATGCACTTCTGGAAGAATGGTCAAACATTCACATAGACACATGCCTTGTGGGCAGTCTTCCCAGAAGATTTAAAGATGTTATAGCCCCTCCACCAAACTTTACACTTGGCACAATGCAATCAGGCAACTACCATTCTCCTGGCAACCACCAAACCCAGCCACGTCCATCGGATTGCCAGATATTTGAGATATTTTTTTGTAAAAAAGTTTGAAAAATTTATCTTTTTCCTTCCACTTCACAATTATGTGCCACTTTGTGTTGGTCTATCACATAAAATGCCAATAAAATACATTTACATTTTTGGTTGTAACATGACAAAATGTGGAACATTTCAAGGGGTATGAATACTTTTAAAAGCACTGTATTTTTGGCTTTACATTTTATTTCCGAAAAGTCAGTAATTCAATTTACAGAGTTGCCTTTTTGTATACTGGATGTTTCTAACATTGCCTTGCTTTGATCTTCTTTCAGCTGTAGTGATCCCTACTAAAGAGATATAAAGTAACACTCAAAATGTTATTAATATGATAATATTTTAATAGTGTAACTATAATGTACATCAGTGGTCTCCCAGATGTGGCCCTTTGCTTGCTTTAATGAAGCCCTCAAAGCATTATTCCTCCCACTGCAAGCAACAGTGTGACATAGTTTCTCCCACTGACATCAACAATGGGGTACTATTCCTCCCATTGACACCAATAATGGGGCACTTTACCTCCCATTGACACCAATGATTGGGCACTATTCCATTCATTGATACTAATGATGGGGCACTATTCATCCCATTGACACTAACGATGGGGCATTATTTCTCCCATTGATACCAAGGATGGGGCACTATTCCCCCATTGATACCAACCATGGGGCACTAATCCTATCATTGATACTAATGATGGGGCACATTTCATCCCATTGACACTAATGATGGGGCACTAGTTCTCCCATTGATACCAAAGATGGAGAACTTATCCTCCCATGGATACGAACGATAGGGCACTATTACGCCTATTGAAACCAGTGATGGGGCACTATTTCCCCATTGATACCAGTGATGGGGCACTATTTTCCCATTGATACCAATGATGGGGCACTATTTCTCCCATTGATACCAATGATGGGGCACTTTTTCTGCCATTGATACCAATGATGGAGCACTATTTCTCCCATTGATACCAATGATGGGACACTATTTCTACCATTGATACCAATGATGGGGCACTATTTCTCCCATTGATACCAATGATGGGGCACTATTTCTCCCATTGATACCAATGATGGGGCACTATTTCTCCTATTAATACTAAAGATGGGGCACTATTTCTCCCATTGATACCAATGATGGGGCACTATTTCTCCCATTGATACCAATGATGGGGCACTATTTCTCCCATTGATACCAATGATGGGGCATTGTTTACTTCCACTGATGCCAGGATATTTTCTTCTCACACTGGTCACAGTCCGGCCCCCCCTAAAATTTGAAGGACAGTAAACCGGCCCTTTGTTTAGAACATTTGGAGACCCCTGCTGTACATTATGCTACCTCAGACTATATACTTATATCCATTGCTAATACCTGTTGCCACTGCTTAAAGGTCACTCTTAAGCCTCATAAACACAGTACGAATATGGGCCAGTTCAAAAGAAACCAGCCAACATTTGTGTACACCACCCTGTCTGACAGAAGCTGGCCTGACAAACAGGAAAACCAGCATCTGATTGGAATCTGATCAGTGCTGGCAGCCATTGAGTTATTATCCATTACTGTTACAGCACTACAAGTTTTATGGGTAGAGATGAATTTATTTGTTAAATTTGGATGTCCAGTGTCCAAGACTTCATTGTTATGTAACCAAACCTTTTATGATGCTCTATGGAAGGGAAACCCAGATTCAACAACAGATGAAATCCCATCTCTCTGATCACCAGAGGCAATAGTGCTAAAGGTAGAAGATAGGAGCAGGCTGTAAACCCAGGAGCTAGGAGCATACTGAATACACACTGGGATCTATAGAACTGGCAGAGTGCTGTAAGGGATCTTGACTTCCATTGTGTGTCTGATGGGCTCCAGTGAGAAGAAGACTGGAAGGAATTAGAGCCCTCTGAACTATGTTTTAGCAGCTACTACCAATTTTGCAGTCAGTTTATCGCTGGCGTCGATCTGATTTAATTGCGTGTCATCAGGCCCAGGACTTTGCAAAGCAGGAAGGCAAATGACATAAACAGCTACAGGTCCTCCTTACAGTTTCTTTTCAGTACTAAGGGATTATAGAAAAGCACAAATTAGTAAATCAACACCTCAAAATACTTTGATTACCGCTAACATTTTATTATGTATTCTTGGATGTTATATCATTATTTTGTGTTATAACACTGGCTTTTTATTTTAGTTGTTATGCAAAAACGACAGCAAAGAAAATGTTTCTATTACCAGTGGATATCAGTTGGGCTTAGGCTTTCAGTTTGTGGCCTGCTCTGGAAGAATTACAGCTGAAATGTCTCGGCTTGCTGTGGGCAGCATAAAACACTGCTCCAAGTTTGACAGATCAAGCCCAGCAGATTTATGCTTGGCCTTGTCATACATAAGTAGCATGTTGATAGTTGGAAAATGATGGACTACTAACACTAGAATCAGTATGTTTTTCTGTGTTTTTGTGATTGAATGCTGTTCTGTGTGACATGTCATCATCTGCTTAGACATTTGGTGCAACACTATTTCTGTAGGCGTGTTGATTAACTGATGTTTGTTTAAAAAATTCCTGTGAGGCACACATGCCTTGGCAATAATCTGGTGGGTTTTAGAGAGGGTTTTTGCTGTTCTTGAATTTCAATGGATAGCTATCCAGAGAATTGGAGACAAGAACATGACCTTTTCCCTCTTTTCTGGATAGCTGCAATGGTAGAGTTAAGTTTGTAAGTTTTTTTTTTTTTTTTTTCAAGCTGGTAAAGGAAATCATTGCTAAATATTGAATATATGTTTTTTTTCCCCTGAAAGGAATAAAGATGCTGTAAGCCAAATGGCAGTGTGCCCCGTGAAAACGACAGATCTGTGCCCTTCCAACTCTTCTGCCTTTCCAAGTCAAGAGGTAGACATCACACTGGCACATTTACATAATGCTGTCTGCTTCTTTCTGTGGCAGACATGTGGACAGGATTGTTTCAGCAATGAGAATCTGGCTGGGAACTGCAGGATGTTTTGTGTGGAATGGGTGCCATGCGAGTGGTGCCCTTCTTGGCTTTGGTCATATTTGGCCCAAGATTTGTAGCGGAAAGAAATTGGATTTCTGCTTAGAAGCAACTTTCAGCTTATACTGTAATTTAAAAAAGCTGTTAGTAAGCATTTGGGAATATAAGCCTCTGAAAACATTATTGTTCTACTATCTTAGATCACAAGTCTATATCTACTGATCTTTATATTAAACATTTAAAACTTCTTTGTAGCTTAAATTTAAGGATGAAATGTAAATTTGTTTTTATTTAGAATGAAGAGAACATTCCAGCATTAGCTCCTCCAATTAGTTTTGGCTCCTTCAAAAACGTTTTCCATGTGGATTTACCAAAGGTATTTTTTTTTTATATTTTTAGGCTTCTTTCTTATTTTTATATGCATTGATAAATGCTAGACAAAAATGTGTTAGTTCCAAGCACATAGTTATTACAGAAAACTATGCAACTGTTGCAGGTCCAGCAACAAAGAGGGCCTAAATGTTATGTAAACCTAAAAAAAAAACAACTTGAGTGTGTTTTGTTGTTAAAAATGTATGCTTTTCATGCTAGTCAACATTAAATACCTGGTGATCTTGCCAGTCTTCTGTATCCTCCATGTCTTTCTGTTGCATTCTGTCAACTCTGTCTGGGTTCAGACCAATGGTAGTGCTGACAGTCACGCACAGTTCACTTCTCATAGGAAACAGCAGGATGCCACGATTTTGCCTGTAGTCCTCTTGGCAGTCTGTGACAAACATTGACACACTTACAGTCCATCCCTCCATGCAATGTTTTTAGTGGCTTCTGTACAGAGCCTCACTGTCTTTCTTAGCCCAATAAAGTGCAAAATATGCATAGTCCCTTGCTTCAGCATCAGAAGTGAGACATGAGAAAGTACCAGATTGTCTATTTCTCAGAATTCAGGAGGTCCATCTACACTTCAAAAATGGAAATTCCTATACAGAATTTAGAGAAACCATCACGTACTTCTACGTGAAATAAGGCAGTGCAACTGCTCTCCAGTTTGCATGAAAGAGTGGAGGAAGGCTCCAGATAGTGCGGTTAGATCCAAAGGCTTTATTAAAATACATATAAAAGCTGTTCTTGCACTGCATTGCACCTAGCATATCAGAAAGCAGAGCAGAGTGAGAAGACTTGTCTATGGTGAGTACAAAAGGCTTCACCCCAGCTGTCAACCAATGTGTACAGTGCTGAATAGTGACCACCTGACTACTCTAAAACAGATATTTAGACACTTTTTGGGGTGATTTTCATTAACATGAATAGTATTGTTGATATGTATTTCATTATGGTATGGTGCAAGTTAACCATTAGCCGCCCGGCCAATGTTCGTTTGGCGGCTTCAGAAGTGTCTCTCCACTCCGGGTGCACGCCATTTGGCGTGCTCCCGCACATGCGCCGTTTGCGCTAATGCAGAGCGGCGCAGCAGTGCGATCTGTCACCGGCCGTGCACCTCGGACACGGCCGATGACAGATCCGAGTAACGGCTCCCGTTTCTGGTACCATGTGACCTGCTGTGACCAATCATAGCAGGTCACATGACAGTTGTATACAATGGATGGCTTCATTCATGATGCCATCCATTGTATACTAGTGCCTAGCTGTGAATGGTCACAGCTAATCACATGCACATGTCATGTGATTAGCTGTGACCAAATCACAGCTAAGCACAAAAAAAAAAAAAAAAAAAGCTGAATGAATCGATTTCATTCAGGTAAATGCTTGCTTATAGCAAAGTAATTCTTTGCTATAAGCAAATTGTGTAAAAAAAAAAAAAAAAAAATACTGATCACTTCCCCAAAGTACTACAATGTTACTATGGTAACATTGTACTACTTTGGTCATAGTAAAATATGAAAAAAAAATCTTAAAAAAAAAAAAAAAAATGTAATAAAAAATTAAATATAAAAAAAAAAAAAATATATATATATATATTTTTTTTTTCATACTGTCACCAGTGTCCCTGTTCACCGCCATGCCAGTTATATGATGACGCTGTACTGCACTGGTGACAGTATGTAAAAAAAAAATAGTGAAAATAATTTTTTTAATTTTTTCATTTTCCGAAAAATTATGACAAAAAAAATACAACTTCAAAAAACTCGCCATGCCTCTTATGAAGTACGTCGGACTGTCTACTCTGCAAAAAGGGGTCATTTGGGGATATCTGTACTGTTCTGACATTCTTAGACCTCAAGAAATTAGATTGGCTGTCAGTACTTCAGGATTGATCAATATTCAGATCTATACCATAGTTTGTGAACTCTATAACTTTCCTACAAACTAAAAAATACATCCTAATTTGGGTTATTTTCACCAAAGACATGTAGCAGAATACATCTCGGCCTAAATTTATGAAGAACAATTATTTATTTGTAAACTTTTATAACAGAAACAAAGAAAAATGTGTTTTTTTTTCAAAATTTTTGGTCTTTTTTGTTAATTTAGCAAAAAATAAAAACCCCAGCGGTGATTAAATACCACCAAAAGAAAGCTCTAGTTGTGTGAAGAAAATGATAAAATTTTAGTTTGGGTACAGTGTTGTATGACCGCGCAATTGTCATTCAAAGTGTGAGAGCGCTGAAACCTGAAAAATGGCCTGGGCAGGAAGGTGTAAAATTGCCCGGTATTGAAATGGTTAAGCAGTAACATCCACTGGTGACAAAACAAGATTTATCCAGGCAACAGCAGCATTCGATAGATCTTTTTTTTTTTTTTAGAGTACGAATGTGTATATTGATCAGGCACCTCTGTCCAAAGCAATTGGTACACTGCCGTATCAGCTAAAGACTTAGAGGCCCAGGCACAAATTTACGAGTACGAAAAATGTATACAGAAGCAATAGTGATAACATTTATTTATAAACCTGGATAGAGATTGTGGAATGTTGTTGCCTAGATTTTAATGACTAGATTACTGTATATGTACATATGTTGTGGTATAATCATGTAATAAACCTTCATTAGGAAAGGGATAGTACAAAAGCTGAACTCTCTTTAGCAAAACTTCATCCTATTATGAGACCCTTTAGTACCAAGATTATGTTTGCAATATTTTGATATACTCTCCAGTGTACTTCAGATAGATTTGCTGGCATAGTGAAATATTATTATACCAGGACAGGAATAGATACTTCTTAACAGATAAATTAGCTGAATGTTCACTTATGTGCAGATTTTTTTTTTCTTTTTTATTAAATTCCCTGCATGTGATTTATGCTTATTAGTGAACATAGGTTTACTTGACTTCACTCCATTTTACATTTAATCATCCCCAATCACTCTGGACCATTATAGCATTGTATTTTAGTGTGATGACACAGCCAGCACTTAGAGCTGGACTGCTAACATCAGGAATGAAATAAATACTAATATATATATATATATATATATATATATATATATATATATATATATATATAAAATCAAAAAGTAAAGTAGTGAATCGCATGTCCCTCTTTTTTTCTGTTTAGTGCACAATCACCCAGAAGGCTTTCTTACATTGCTTGGTGTTGTATTTTTAATATATATTTATGCTCTCAATACAAACAGCTAATCCTCGTTTTGCAAATATCAAATATTTTGCCAAGTATATGTTTTTAGGTGTGTGTGTGCGCGTTTGTGTGTGTATGTATGTATGTATGTATATATATGTAGTGTGTGTGTGTGCATATATATATATATATTTGACATCTCTAACAAGTATGAATATTTTCCCAGTTGGCAACCTAGCAGTGCGTGCCAGTCATAATAGCTTGGCCAAGGACTCCATTCCATTTAATTCCTGATACAGAATTCTCACCAATCCCCAATTCATGCTCTAACAGCCCAATTATCTATTATATATAGCTGATTGACATCAGTCTCTAGTTATGTATGTGTGTCATTAGCTACTATTGTCAATAGGAAAAAAGGTAACCAATCAAGCTACAAACATGAAGGCATACTGAGCAGATGACAATTTAGGATGTTGCGTTTCAGAGAGTGCTTGGCGAGATCACCAGAGCAGCTATGGGGAGCAAAAAAATAGAGGGGAAAGTTATATACTATGGTGTTCTAAGAGGGTTCTTTCACTGTTAACATTGCCATATATACTGTTTAACTGCTCTAGTAGGTTCTCGGCCACAGGTTATATTCTGAGCTTTTGACATACTGACATATTAATAATACAGAGCCTGGGACAATAGCAGGACACTGATAAAGAGTACAAATTCATCCAGGGTAGAGCTCTTTCCCAGTGCCCCATTAAATGGCTTATTGGCAACACAGCAAAGCTTCATCCAGCTGAATAGTTAAGATGTATTTAAACCCTAACAATGAGCTTTTCTTATATGTTTCCTTTTTGTCTGTGAAATATATAATTGAAACCATCTTATGTCCATTTGATAAGTGCCAAAAAAGACCTGTCGGAAATCTTGTGAGTTAATATTTTTCTGTACACTCTGCCTATGTTGCCCACCTATCAGGTACGGTTCCCAGTTGTTGCTAAAACTTACACGTAACAGTTCTTTCACACCACATGTGGTAGGACTGCACTAGGGGGGAGGCTATTCCAGTGCAGTTCCACTGCATAACCAGGTGAAATGCCTTGCCACCATATCTGCCTGTTCCACACCACTGCGCTGCAGTTGGTATACTGTGTGCTTTTTTTTCAGCGCAGTGCAAGGTAATCCATTGCCTCACGCTGCCAGCATTTGACTTTTATGGGATGTCTGTGTGACCTTTTATGTATTGTCTGTGTGACCTTTTATGGGATGTCTGTGTGACCTTTTATGGGATGTCTGTGTGACCTTTTATGGGATGTCTGTGTGACATCTTTTGTTCGGCCCACATACCAGCCTCTGCATTATACCGCAGTGGCTGGCATGACCATATACCCTAAATTTATTGCAGCATTTGACTTCTACATTTAAATACCTATCTATTGCTGCTTTTTTATTTATTTAATATAAAGGTACAGCATTGCAAAATGTTGTGTGTGTTTTGTATGGTAAACAAGACTGCGGTCATTTATTACTATAACTTTCATAAAGATCAATTATGTGTTAGTAACTGTTGATGCCAAAATCTGTCATCATTTAAACTTCAAAATATGTTTTAATTTTAATAGATATTTTTTTTGTAAGTCTATGGATTATAACATGAAGCAAACAGTGATTAGTATACTTTTACTGTTACTCACAGGATCAGGGAGGTCTAGGCATTGCTATCAGTGAAGAAGACACTCTTAATGGAGTAGTCATTAAAAGTCTAACTGATTATGGAGCAGCAGCAAAGGTGAGAGTCATGGTTTTGTGACTAATGTCATGCCACATACCATGTTTGTGAACTGTGGTTTGTGTTTAATAAGCACTCTTTTTATTTTCCCCAGGATGGACATATCAAAGTAGGGGATCGTATCTTGGCAGTTGATGATGAACCAGTGGTGGGTGCTGCAATTGACAAGGTATGTTTTCATGTTCCATGAGAAGTACATTAAGGTGTCCATTTATGAAACTAGTGCCTATCGTGGCTCTTCTCTCTAGTACAGCGGTTTATAAAGCTGCGATGAGAAGTGGGAATGCTGTTCTCCACTTCTCATCACAGCACGGTGAAAAGCTGCCAGTAATTCCAATACAAACAGCTAGTTTAATAAGGTGCAATGTAATCACTTGACTAGCCATTTATGCAAATGATCTCCTTTGCTTTTCCACCACCAAAGGAATTATGTCCTCTGCTTCCTCTGTCACTAATTGACCACCCTTTTAAAATGTAGAGCAGATTTTGTATATTTATACTGTATATGTACATAAAGGGCCACCATTAAAAATCCCCATGCCTACTATATTGTCTAATAGTTGTGGACATTTAACCCATTAAAAAAAAAAAACCATAATGCTTAGAGGTCTGTCTGTTATGTATCCTAAGTTGTAATGTAGGTATATTCCTCCACTAAACCCCAGTATCAGAAAAAAAAGTTAATAAAGGCCTATGTCATAAATAATTGTGGTTTTTATATATATCAAAGACGTGACGCTTGTTCCTGAGTGTATTTATGGCTATGCAAACACATTCAGTTACAAATGTTACAGGAATGTCTTGATATAATTAAAAACACCACCATTATGTATGAATGGTCTCTTCCACAAAGGTCTTTTAGTAACTTTAACTTTATTTTTTAACTTCTTTTTCCACTTTTATGTTTTACTTTTCATTCTGCCAATGATCTCTCAAGATCACACAAATCTCACTTCTCTTCACTCACACTACACATCATGGCCATTCACTTTGTGTTCTATTCACTTTGCTTCTCAGCCAGAGAAGAGAAGTACAAAGGTACTGTCCTCTGAGTGCTTTATACACAGTGAAGACCTATGATGTGTAAAGGCAGGCCACATCAGTGCTTCATGAAGTGACACCTGAGTTAGATATTAAACCTAGAGAAAAGTAAAGCTGCCAATTTTTTTAGCCCGTTAAAAAAAAAAAAAAAAAAAAATTTTGATTGGTGGCTGTGGGCAAAACAGTTTTTTACTGGAATCCTGTTTTCATCTAGCAAAATTAGTGTGTGTTGACTAAATTGCAATTCCAATAATATGTCTATATTGCTCTTAGCTATTTATTGTAATTATTTCAGCTAGCTTAATGTGGCAAACGTCTAACCAAACTATTACAACCAGTGTCTGAACTGAGATTCCTATGCGTTGAGATAATTTTGCTATAAAGGTTCACAGACACTTGCAGCCTGAAACAAGAAGTTTAGTATTTAAGAAGAAAAGAGTCCTTAACCACTTCAGCCCTAAAGCAATGTTTTCATTTTTTTGATTTTCTGCACGCATGTAAAAATCTGCATTTTCTTGCTGTAATATTACTTAAAACTTCCAGAACATATATTTTCTAAAAGCACATGAGAACCTGTTGAATAAAATGAAAATTGTTGCAATTTATTATTTTGCACAATATTTGCACTAAAACTAATTTTCAGGAAAAAAATATCAAAAACTGAACTTTACAAACAAAAAAATAAAATATAATACCCAATTTTTGGTAACGTATAAAAGATGAGGTTGCATCGAGTAAATACATACCAAACATGTAAAAACTTAAAATTTACGTTAAAAAACGATGGTACCCAAAAATAACCATAGACAATGCTTTAAAAGCCTTCACATCTAATTAGTTTAGGGTTAACTGTGAGCTCTGGTGCCAGAATTATTGGTGTTGCTTTGACATTCATGGTGATACCTCACGTGTTTGGTGCAGTTGCAGTTTCTGTAAATGTGTGCACCCTGTGCACGTGTTTACATTTGCGGGAGAATTCAGGGCAACAGGGGTTACGTTTTTTTTTTTTTTTTTTTTTTGCAATACATTTTTATTATTTTGTTTTTTAAATTTAACTTTATTGCTATCACAGATGTTTAACAAACCCTCATGCGATAGCATTGCGCAGGAGACAGGTATTCTTTAAGAATACATTGGGGGTCAGTGAGACCCCAAGGTCTCCCCTGTCCTCCAAAGCATTTAACCAAGCAGAGATCTTCTCGGTTAGATGCTTCCGTGAAGGAATTAGCCATGGAAAGACAGCTCTGAAATCGTATCTGATAAAATCATTGTCGCTTTCAATTTCAATCAGTGCAAAAGGGATTGGGAACAGATGTTTCTTGGTCTTCTCCAGCTCAGCCTTCTGAAACCGGTGTATGTGGTCACAGGCTCCTGGTAACAGCAGGAGACCCCGGCAACCCACTTTACTGCCAGGAGCCAGCTGCAGAAACGGAGCACAAGGTGATGGCCATACTACGTATGTCCAAAAAGATGAACTGGGTAAACTATATCTTTATTCCAAAACGTGCGACTCTGTCAATCTGTTTTTCTGTATGATAAACTGATAAGAGTCACACATCAAAGGCCTCTTAGTGACTAACTCTAAAGGCAGCTTTTCTGTATACAGGAAAAATATTTCACACATTGTAGAGTCTGATGTGGATGTAGAGACTGCTCCCGTCAGTTTGGAATTAAACTAAAATCAAACTAAAATAGTCTAGATCAGTGATGGCGAACCTTTTAGAGACTGAGTACCCAAACTGCAACCCAAAACCCACTTATTTATCGCAAAGTGCCAACATTGCAATTAAACCTGAATACTGAGATTGTAGGTTAGAGAAAATAACTCATACATTATCGTCTTTTGTCTTAAAAGGAAAACACAATAACAGAGCTTTCAATGATACAGATTTTTAACAGATCCACTGACCACCAGCACAAGGGGGCAAAGTTCCACTGACCACCAGCACAGAGGGGCAATGTCCCACTGACCACCCACACAGAGGGGCAATGTCCCACTGACCACCCGCACAGAGGGGCAATGTCCTATTGACCACCCGCACAGAGGGGCAATGTCCCACTGACCACCCGCACAGAGGGGCAATGTCCCACTGACCACCCGCACAGAGGGGCAATGTCCCACTGACCACCCGCACAGAGGGGCAATGTCCCACTGACCACCCGCACAGAGGGGCAATGTCCCACTGACCACCCGCACAGAGGGGCAATGTCCCACTGACCACCCGCACAGAGGGGCAATGTCCCACTGGCCACCCACACAGAGGGGCAATGTCCCACTGGCCACCCACACAGAGGGGCAATGTCCCACTGGCCACCCACACAGAGGGGCAATGTTTCACTGACCACCAGCACAGAGGGGCAATGTTCCACTGACCACCAGCACAGAGGGGCAATGTTCCACTGACCACCCAGCACAGAGGGGCAATGTTCCACTGACCACCAGCACAGAGGGACAATTTTCTACTGACCACCAGCACAGAGGGGCAATGTTCCACTGACCACCAGCACAGAGGAGCAATGTTCCACTGACCACCAGCACAGAGGAGCAATGTTCCACTGACCACCAGCACAAGGGGGCAAAGTTCCACTGACCACCACCAGCACAGAGGGGCAAAGTTCCACTGACCACCAGCACAAAAGGGCAATTTTACACTGACCTGGCCTGCTCTGAAAATGGCATCTAATTACATATATAATTTCTTTGGCGGTGCCCTGATTGGCCATGCGAAAGCTCAGACGAGTCATGGCTAATGAGTTGCAACTCCTTTCTGAGCATGTGCATTGCTGGGAAGCTTGGCTGCTGGGAAGACTTGGCTAGCATGCCGACAGAGAGGGCTCCACGTCCCCGCTGTGGCACGCCGCCACCACTGGTCTAGATGTTAAAACTGACATTCTTAGAAAACATGACCTTTGTTTGCACAGGATTATAGCAATATTACATAGTTTGACAGGAATTAGAAGCATTGTAAGGATCATACAGTATCAAAAACAAAAATCACTATACAACTGTACTAATACAGGTTAGGGTGGTCAAAATTACTTGATGACCAGAAAAACAAATAGAAATTAAGTAGCAAGAAATGTTATTTTATTTTTGGGATACTTAGTAGTGGTCAGCGGTCTAGTGTTTATTTCTGAGAGATTTGAGATTGGTATTTATTAAGACCGCTGAAAGTAGATTCTGCGATAATGCTGAGGAACTGGCTATAGACTGTTTAACAAACCCCACTTTTTAACTGGAAGTGCAGCCTTTTCAGTGGTGTTTGATGTTTTAGGCCACGGACCTATACCTGAACTCAAAAAGCTAAATAGAATTACAAATGAATTCAAATGTGTACATCATTTTTATTTATTTTATTATTTTACTTTAGTTCTTGAGCTGCATTTCATGAAATACCAACTGTTTACTTTTATGAATTACACTTCTGCTTCTGAACCTTTGGGGAAATTTTTGTTTCTTGTTCCTTAAGGTTGTTAGTCTTTTGAAGAAAGCCAAAACAACTGTGACGCTGACGATAAGTTCTGATGATCAAGAAGGACAGCATAATTACCCTTTACCCCTCAGTACATTTACCTCCAGCACTGTGGAGAAAAGGAATAGCCAGCAATGTCTTCCACATATCAGCTTGACGGAACCAGAAGCTGTTCGCAGTAAGGGTCTCCTTCCATTTCTTTGTCACTTCAAGAAGAATTTAACCAACCAATAGTTTAAACTTTGCTGAAAACAAAACCTTAGTGCAGCCTTTTTCAACCAGGGTGCCCAGGTACCCTGGGGTAACTTGAGGTGTCTTCAGGGTTCCTTGGCAAAAATGCTTAAAAATTGCCCAAAAATTGTACACAAGCCAGCAGGTAGATCAAGCCTGCCTTTTAGTTACACAAAGCCACAAGTTTTCATTATGCACCATTACGACCAATGATTCCAACAACCAATTACATCATCAGTTGATAAGGAGGATGGTCGTCTGCACAGCATCCTTGCTTGCCCCCCCCCCCGCCCCTCCCCATTAGCGCTGGCGTCACACTAGCTGAGTGATGAGGAAAAAGTGAGGGAGAAGAGAAACACTGGAGTGCTAGTCAGTACCAGTGTGCAAAAGTGTATTTGATTCAGAAGAATAAATCACCTCTAAGTATGTTGATGCATTATGTAAAACTATTAGAATGGGGTGCCTCAAGGCTGTCCATAATTTTAAAGGGTGCCTTGACTGAAAAAAGGTTGATAAACACTGCCTTATTGCATCGTTTGAAAGATGCAACTTTTTTTTGTGTGTTAGGGAAACCTCCTCATTACATTATCTTCTTGGCCCTAATTCACACACATTAAGAGGAGTTAAAACAAATTAAGACCTCTATGTAGCCTCTTTTCCTTCTTCCTTCTCATAGCTGATTTTGAAGCAGGAGTTTTGAATCAGACTTGAATCCGGAACAAAAAAGAAAACTCCACTCTAGTGCACAGATAGTTCTCCTTGTTGCGTTTTATACATCAGTTAGGATTTTGCAGTAGTATAGAAGCACAGAATGACTCTCATTGATTCCCAGCAGTTTTAAAGTAGGGTAAGGAGAAATGCATATAGCAACGCCTCACAATTTTAAAAACAAAATTGCTAATTGTTCAAAATCTTAATACCTATGCTATTAAATACTGTAAAAGTTGTGTTTTTTTAGTGCAATTGATGAGGTATTTATATAAGATAATAAGCAGGTTGTAGAATTTTTATATCCCTTTTGGGTGTACAAAATTGTGGATATTTCCATGTAAGTTTAGCTATATACACTATATTGCCAAAAGTATTGGGACACCCCTCCAAATCATTGGATTCTGGTGTTCCAATAACCTCCATGGCCACAGGTGTATAAAAGCAAGCACCTAGGCATGCAAACTGCTTCTACAAACATTTGTGAAAGAATGGGTCGCTCTCAGGAGCTCAGTGAATTTAAGCGTTGTACTGTGATAGGTTGCCACCTGTGCAATAAGTCCATCTGTAACATTTCCTTGATATTAAATATTCCACAGTCAACTATTAGTGGTATTATAACAAAGTGGAAGCAACTAGGAACAACAGCCACTCAGCCATGAAGTGGTAGGCCACGTAAAATGACAGAGCAGGGTGAGCGCATCCTCAAGCGCAAAGTGTACAGGAGTCACCAGCTAAAAAGCTAAAGACCTCCAAACTTTGTGTGGCCTTCAGATTAGCACAGCAGTGCGTAGAGAGCTTCATGGAATGGGTTTCCATGGCTGAGCAGCTTCTTCCAAGTTTTACATCACCAAGTGCAATGCAAAGCGTCAGATGCAGTGGTGTAAATCACACCGCTATTGGACTCTAGAGCAGTGGAGACGTGTTCTCTTGAGTGACGATTCATGCTTCTCTGTCTGGCAATCAGATAGACGTGTCTGGGTTTGGTGGTTGCCAGGACAACGGTACTTGCCTGACTGCATTGTGCCAAGTGTAAAGTTTGGTGGAGGGGGTATTATGGTTTGGGGTTGTTTTTCAGGGGTTGGGCTTGGCCCCTTCGTTCCAGTGAAGGGAACTCTTGTGGCGTCAGCATACCATGACATTTTTGATAATTTCATGCTCCCAACTTTGTGAGAACAGTTTGGGAATGGCCCCTTCTTGTTCCAACATGATTGCGCACCAGTGCACGAAGCAAGGTCCATAAAGACATGGATGAGCAAATTTGGAGTAGAGGAACTTGACTGGTCTGCACCTCCACCTGATAGAACACCTTTGTGATGAATTAGAGCGGAGACTGCTAGCCAGGCCTTCTCCTCCGACAACAGTGCCTGACCTCACAAATGCGCTTCTGGAAGAATGGTCATAGACACACTCCTAAACCTTGTGGACAGCCTTGCCAGGAGAGTTGAAACTGTTATAGCTGCAAAGGGTGGGCCAACTCAATATTGAACCCTATGGAATAAGACTGAGATGCCATTAAAGTTCATGTGTGTGTAAAGGCAGGCGGCCCAATACTGTTGGCAATATAGTGTATATTCCTAAAGACCTAAGATGATTATGGACCCCATAGGCTAATGTGGAAAAAAACAGGAGGCCCATTTTGGTCTATATCAGATCTTCGTAAACCAGATAAAATTTGCATATTATGTAACAAAAGATTTTGGTCTCATACTCCTAAATGGCTCAGCGGCCTCTAATGAACAAATTAAAGTCCAATAGAAAGTTTGACCTAGTGTATAAGTAGTTGGGAACAATTGGAGTGCTCAGCTCTATATTTACTCTGGTGTTTGCTGTGCAAGTTGCTTGTGCAGTTGTCCCTTTTGTTTTTAAATATATTTTTCTGTTCTGTTGTTGTGACAGGGCACGTGTTTTATATATTTTTGCATCTTAGTCTATTGCTACATACCAGCCACTAAATCATATTGTAGGTTTTACATGGCTTTTATGAAATCACTTAGCTATTTTTATCTCTTATCTTTTGAACCAGGATAACATACTTTTCTAAAGGTTGTAGAATGTATTTTCTTATTTCATATTTTATATTCTCACTTTAAATGCTTGGATTTTTTTTTCAGGTGCAAGTCGATCATCAACTCCTGCAACATTTCCTTCAGACCCAACCACTTGTCCAATTATACCTGGATGTGAAACCACAATTGATATATCTAAAGGGAGAACAGGTCTGGGACTCAGCATCGTAGGAGGTGCAGACACTCTACTGGTAAATATTTGACTTTATACATATTGAATGTGATTGTTGCTAGAAAAGCAGTATACTAAAACCCATTCTTGTGACATGCCCATCTTTTTACTGAAGCAAGCTCTCATAGCAGCTTTCTGTTGTAGCACTGTGGCCCTAACACTGTAATTTCTTTAGTTCCATGTCATCAGTTCCATTAAATAAACTGTTGCTCTGGATTTTCAGGGTGCAATTATTATTCATGAAGTATATGAAGAAGGTGCTGCTTCCAAGGATGGAAGACTGTGGGCTGGGGACCAGATTTTAGAGGTAAAGGAAGTTGAAGTTGAAATAAATGCATGCAGTCAATCTTCCATGTTTCTTATAGCATATAAATGTTTTTGATTTTGCAGGTCAATGGTATTGATCTAAGAAATGCCACACATGACGAAGCCATAAATGTTTTGCGACAGACACCACAAAAAGTGCGTCTTACAGTGTACAGAGATGAGGCACAGTACAAAGAAGAGGACATGTATGATATACTGAATGTGGAGCTGCAGAAGAAACCAGGGAAGGGGCTTGGATTAAGCATTGTAGGGAAAAGGTGAAATAATATGTTTTAAAATTTTAGAATGGGATATAGTGTTTTTCAAAAATCTTACTTTTATGATGGTCTGTTTTAGAGAGACTGTTTGTTTGCATTTTAAGGCCCCTTTCACAAGGGAGTTCTAAACAGGTTCACCTGTCAGCTTTCCAGGTGGACCTGATCAGAAGGTCCATGGAACTCTATGGGCAGTTGGATATATACATATACAGTGGGGATCGAAAGTTTGGGCACCCCAGCTAAAAATCTGTATTGATGTGCATAAAGAAGCCAAGGAAAGATGGAAAAATCTCCAAAAGGCATCAAATTACAGATTAGACATTCTTATAATATCTCAACAAAAGTTAGATTTTATTTCCATCATTTACACTTTCAAAATAACAGAAAACAAAAAAATGGCGTCTGCAAAAGTTTGGGCACCCTGCAGAGTTAATATCTTGTACTGCCCCATTTGGCAAGTATCGCAGCTTGTAAACGCAGCCAAGAGTCTTTCAATTCTTGTTTGAGGTATCTTTGCCCATTCTTCCTTACAAAAGTCTTCCAGTTCTTTGAGATTTCTGGGCTGTCTGTCACGCACTGCTCTTTTAAGGTCTATCCATAGATTTTCAATTATGTTGAGGTCAGGAGATTGTGAAGGCCATGGCAAAACCTTCAGTTTACGCCTCTTGATGTAATCCCCTGTGGATTTCGAGGTGTGTTTTAGGATCATTATCCATTTGTAGAAGCCATCCTCTCTTTAACTTCAGCTTTTTCACAGATGGCATCAAGTTACCATCCAAAATTTGCTGAACTTTTATTGAATCCATTTTTCCTTCTACTCGTGAGATGTTCCCTGTGCCACTGGCTGCAACACAACCCCAAAGCATGATTGATCCAACCCCATGCTTAACAGTAGGACAGAGGTTCTTTTCATTAAATTCTGTGCCCCTTCTTCTCCAAACGTACCTTTGCTCATTCCTGCCAAAAAGTTCAATTCTAACCTCATCGGTCCACAGAACTTGTTTCAAAAATGCTTAAGGCTTGTCTATATGTTCATTTGCAAAGTTCAACCGATGATTTTTGTGGTGAGGACAAAGAAGAGGTTTTTTTCTGATGACTCTTCCATGAAGACCATATTTGTACAAGTATCTCTTTATAGTGGAATAGTGTACCACAACTCCAGTGTCTGCCAGATCTTTCTGGAGGGATCGTGCAGTCAAACGTGGGTTTAGAATGGTTTTTCTCACAATCCTGCGAGCTGTTCTGTCTGATATTTTTCTTGGT